TAAAACCGTAATCAGCAGAAAAGAATAAATCAAGACTCATTCATACTCTACTCAGGGTAAAGTCGACTGGAGGAATGAACATGAGGCAAAATAAAAACACTCACTGACACACATACAGTACATCTACATACACACATTCTGAATGCCAGAGCTCTTTAAGTGCTCTTTACGCGGCTGCTACGCATAGCTATTTCTGGATTTAGATCTTCCAGCTGTTCGCCCGACATGTATCTCTTTCACAAGTTTTCAGATTGAGGCTCGGCGTTGCTGGGAAGTTTCAGTTCGGAGCGCGAGAGCAGCGCGCGTGGGTGCGGAGGGGGAGTCAGTTGTTGACGGTCCGGTAGCCAAGAAACCAACTGCAAGCAACTGACAGGAGTCTGTCCGCTACCCGACCCAGCCCAGACTCCCCTGCTTTAAAGCCACGGGGAAATCCCAAAACATCACAGAATTCTTGATTCTTAACACGGGATTCTTAAGCTGAGGACACTTTCGAGTTGAGATATTGAACAATGATGAGTTTTCAAAGTAGCTATTTGTGAGGTTGGCTAACGAGCGACATGATTGTTGTGGTAAAGATTTTTTTTAAAGAATTTGGAGAACATTGTACTGAAATTCCCAACACACGTCAGAAACGCATAATAATACCAAAAACGTACAATTTCATATAGGCCTAACATTTCTGTAGCCTACATATAATAAAACAACGCGGATCAGGATTTAACAGTCTTAAATTAATAATTCACCGTAAAACTTTCTATGTTGTAAATTGTCAAATAAATAAATACATGAACACTCATCTCACTGTAAGCAAAATGTGACATATAATAGTAATAATAATATTGCTTTATGCGTTAACAATGAACAAAGAGACAAAATGCAGACTTTAATGCTCAATTGTAGGCTAAATATATATATTTTTTTATCTGCATAATGGACAAGATGCCTGTTTTAAAACCACATAAGCTAATTAATAATGCAAAAGTTTGGTTTTATTTTTAGGGCATTCAAAGATAGTAGGCTAATCTGTTTTTAAATCTAGAAAATTATCTAAAATGATTCTACGCAACAGAACAGTTCCTCAAATGAAAGAATCGCACATTGCGAGACCATTTCATGGGGCATGATGCTGATGGGACTGCAGGCGTGCAGCATGTGCCGCATCATCTACATCGGCCCTCCTTTCACTCGTTGATAGCTTTATTTCATCTAGGCATTCAATAATATCCACTGTCTTGAGCACAATGAAAAGGCAAAACTCCAAATTACCTGAGAATAGTCGTTGGATAAGCCCCTTTCCGAGTCAGGAATCTTGTGTTCAAAGCAAAACAGAGAGGAGTCCTGCTGAAAGCCGTCGGACAGTGAGGGTTTAAGAAGCGAGAGAAAGTCATCTTGTCCCGGTGCGAGCGCAGCGCTCATGGTAAGAAGCGTAGCGGCCATAAACCCGTGGATGTGACCAAAAGGGCGTCCGCAAGATGTGTTTTGATAGACGTTGAGAAAGGAGTGGTGAGTGTATGGTGCATGGAATGACACCCGTGCGTGGATGTGCGCGCGCTTTCGGTATAATGTCCCGTTTTGCCTCGCTCCGTTCCTGGAGCTCCAGGATTTATGAAGATTCAGCGAAAGGGCGGAGTCGGCGACTGAGAAAGTGAGGCGGCTACACCTTTACTACTGTAACAGAGAAACAAGCCCGTCAAAACAGAGAGCCCGAGTTAAATACGTCCAGCCCAGTAAGTTACCTCCCTTACCATCTGGAAAATGACGGCAGTGCAGACAAGGCTGCTTAACAAAAACAAACTGACTGAACTGCATAAAAACGAGTGCGCATCATTTTTATTGACCAACTCAAAGCTCGTTTGGTGTTGCTCATTTTGTAAACATTGTATTTATTAGATCGGTTAGTAAGTTTCATTAACAGGCAATGTTAATCAACAACTAACACAAGCTAATTGTGAAGACTCAATAGTAAGTAGTAAAACCAGTTCTTATTCACAAACGCCCGATTCCTGAACAATATGACTCTTGTCAGTCGATCGGATCTTTTTTAAGTCATTATGAAATCGAAATTAATAGCACATTCTAAAAAAATCTATAGGCTGTTGAAAGTTATGACAAAAATAAACACACCCAATGCTAGTTAAAAACATAAATAAATAACGTTTAACCCAGTAAAGCGTTTGTTTATATATGGTCCAATATGTCCAATGTTTTTTAGAGTGCAGTTTGTTAGCTCACAAAGATTTTCTTATGGTGAAAAATGTATCCTTGTAATTTTTTTTGTCTTAAAGTGTCCCAAATAACATTATACTATGCACTTATGTTCTAGATTGGCTATTCAGCTGTCTCCATGAATTTTGTTGGAATTTTTTGTCTTTCATCAGGAGTGTCTGAAATCCCTGCCTACTCCACTACACAATTAAATCTGTGACAACGGAGAGCATGAAGTGTCTAATGTTCCACACTTTGGGTTTTCCCTTTGGTTTACTGTATTTATTCCAGGCATTAAATTTTTTTGAATATTCTCAATGTGAACAATCTATCACCAATACTTGTAATTAAAAACACAGAATAGGAAATATGTATTCAAATTGGTACTTTTTTTTACTTCAGCTCTGAAATGGCATTCCTTATATGAAGAAGTCAGTTTAAAGGCTTAAAAATATCATTAAAGTATCAAATAAAACCACATCCTCTAATCAATATTTAGCAGAATTTACACATGCTGTAGCATTCAGAAACCCGTGTTATTAGAGACACCAGAGGCCAATAAGTGAACTGCATCCAGCAAAGTTACTAGTGTTTGTGTGCAACTTAATGTCTCTGTATATTTTCTCAGCAATGTGGATTTCATTCAGACCATTTTAGTTCAATTAAAGCCAACCAACACCACCCTAAAAGACGTAGGTTATTAATCAAACATTCTGCTTCGTTCTATGACATTCAGCCTTTAATCGTTTGAATCATGAAAACAAGCTCCAATATAAGTCTATTAACATATATTGGAGCTGGATTTCACTCTTTCATTTGACTTATTGTTTGTTGGCTGAAAGTAAAATGATCCAACAAAACCCAATTTTTTAGCTCTTTCCAAATGTCTCTGAATGCAGGCTTGGATTTGCAAGCTGAGACTGCAAATCTCTGACTTGCAATGTCAGACACAATGCACTTAATGGAGCTAGTGATGTCACTGTGAGGGGTAGGGTCAGGGGTGGGGTATTAAAAAGCTTTGTATGCAGCTCACCTTGCAACTGCATCAAGTCTGCATCCAGACTTGGATCCGTCCCTTTTTTCCATGTTCAAAATGGTGGAGATGTTTTTATATGACGTTCATACAGTATCACATTTTTTTTTTTTTTTTTTTTTTGGGAAACAAAATAGTCCTAGGTTTCGTGGAGGTTAAAGGAAGGTCTCTTTTTTACTTTTCATTTTCAGCCATGTACTTACTTGGTAAAAAAAAAATATATATATATATATATATATATATATATACTACATAATTTGTAAATATGGGCCTTTCAAATGCAAAGTGTAGTCAGGGTCTGATTCTGAGCCAGAATTGCAACTCAAAAACTGAATCACTAACTGGATTCATGAATCACTACATGACACAAATATTAGTTAGAATTACAATCAGTTACAATTAATTAGAGTTGCAATCAGAATTATTAACCCCCCTGATTTATTAGCCAATCATTTAAATTCAATTTCATTTAAAGGCTTAACTAGTTTCAGTAGGTTAACTAGGTAGGTTAGGTTAATTAGGGAAGTTATTGTATAACGATGTTTTGTTTTGTAGACTATCGGAAAAAAAGAAAAATAGCTTAAAGGGGCTAATAATTTTGACCTTAAAATGTTTGTTTTTTTTTTTGTCTAAAAATTAAAAACTGCTTTTATTCTAGCCAAAATAAAGCAAATAAGACTTTCTCCACAAGAAAAAAATATTAACAGACATACTGTGAAAATTGTTTAGTTAAACATCATTTGCGAAACATTTAAAAAGGAAAAAAATTAAAGAGGGTTAATAATTCTGATTGCAACTGTAAATAAGTTTATATGCGTGTTATTGTAGGACCATTAAATAACTGGTTTATTAAATTAATTAATTTAATTAATTACTTAAAGGTTTTGGAATTGTTTTGGAATAAATACAAATGAATGCAATTTAGATGAGGTTTATCTGAAAAAAATAATGTGACATATTTTCCTTGAAGCAAGCTGAAAGTTTTTTTTTTTTATCTTTTCAGAGGCAGAAATGTATGAACTGTACATATTGTAAAAAAATAAATAAATAAATAAAATTTACTAAGAAACTAACTATGCTCCCACAATTTACCACATGTATATCCCCTCTTAAAAGTTTCAACATATTTTGCATGGATTGTATTTTTTAACTTAATTTTTTTTTAAATGAAGTGATTTTACTTGGCAACTAATTCTTAAACAACTTTCCCAATATGATTCTCATCCCTGTAACACCCGCTCCTGAGAATGTTATGAGTGTATGGCACCACATCTGCTCTCAACGCTCTCACGTCTGCTGGTTTACAATGCTGAGAAACAAAACTTATTTACAAACTAGATTTTCATTTAGATGATAAATGCTTGCCAATTCAAATATTAAAAATAAAAAGACATTTTAAAAGTCAAATATCCACTTCAAGCAAACGGGATCAATCAATTGGATCAATACTATGCAGCTCAATGCTAGCGTTCTTGCTGGACATTTGAGCCGGTAGTGTGTAACATTAAGATGACACAAATAAGCGTGCAATGCGGCTGCGATGATTAAGGTATGCACAAGCTCCTCTATTTTTACCAACAGCGTGTCTCACGTCTTACAAATCAAAACGGAAGGATACAGATCTCATTACCATCAAATGATGCGTTCAGATATTTAGACTGTACATTCAGAAACTGCATATTAATTTGGCCAGAAAAGTTTAATAATAATTAAAAAAAAAAATAATAATAAAAAATAACAGCATGTTCACACGCTTATCTGAACTAGATAAAATGATTTATTACCATTAAAAGGAAATTCATAGTTTGAGGTTCACATTCTTCATGGCCACACATCAAACCTGTGTAACTCGTTATGTAATGGATCTTCAACAGACTTTCATTTGTGATTGCATGACATGGAGCATCCTAAACAAGTTCAACAAGTCTCTACTTGGTTTTCCGCTTGACTTTTCTATACCATTCTGGAACTTCTTTTTTAGTCTGTTAAAAGAAGAAGAAGAAAAAAAGGGTTAAATACAACTGACCTGTTTTTTGGCCCATGATGCTTATTGTGAATAATGGTAATAAGTTCTAACTACAAAAATTTTTAAACGTACTACCTAAAAACAGTTAGTAAAGTGACAAAAAACACTTTTTTTTTCTAACAGTTCATCCATCAAATATTAAAAGTCAACTTAATAGAAATAATAAATGACTTCCATCAGACCATGAATGACCTCAAAAATTTTCCACAGCAATTTTATGAAAATATATTAAATATCACTGTGCTGCAGGGAATACAAACCTAATGCCATGTTAAAATACCAAGTGTAACATTATTATTATTATTATTATGATTATTATTATTATGACAGATACTATGAAAAAACAATGTCAAAGATACTTCTTACTCAGTTTTCACTATGTATGTGGAATATTTGTAGCGCAATCTTATTTTTATTACACTGTAAAACCCAGTAAGTTATGGTAAACCAATTAAGTTCAAAAACCCATTCTAATAATTCATTTGAGTACACAAAGCAACTTGAGCACAATAAATCCAACAAATGAAGAGAACTCAAACGAACTGAGTACTGTAAAATCCAATAAGTTAAGGCAACTTTCAGCGTTGGGGGAAACAGACCGCTCCAAACCATTTATGTTAAAAAAACGAATCTATATTAGTACTGTGGACTTACGTCATTTAAGTTGAAGTAATGAGGTATTTAATTAACTGACTACCTTCAACACTGAGTTCAAAACTCTTTTCAAACGAGTAGAAATCTCTCCATAAATAAACCACTACCTACTTTTACTTAATAAACTCTTAATTTTCTGCTTTTAATAGTTATTAAAGATATTATGAAGGCTTAATTATTAAGTATGATTAGTAATATGTACTTTCTAATGTTCTAATAAACAGCCAATATCTTAAAATAATACACTGTAAAAATCTTGCTGCCTTACATGTTTGAATCAACTTTACTTTTCTAGTCTTTTCAACGTACATCAATTAAACTAGACTAAAAATATTAAGTTCAAATTTGTATAAATTAAATTAAACTATTCAAAACCTGATTTGCGTATTAAAATAAGTTAAAGCAACATAAAATTATTTGCTGTCTTGACACTTTGTCATTACATTTTTTTTACAGTTTAGTCAAGCAATAAGCGACTAGTTAATAGTGAGAATTGGTCCTTGAATTAAAGTGATATCCAGATTTTTTTAAAATATGGTATACTGTCCTCTTCATTGTTAAATGTTCAAGTAAAACTTACAAAAACCGTGGGTTTGGGGCCATAATTGTATTGCTCTTCATCTGTGCTTTTGAATGTTTTGGGTCTGTGAACTGCGGTCCCATCAGCCTCGAGTTCAGGAAGAGTAGCAGATGGAGGACCACGCATGCTAATCAGGACCTGCTTCATCACAGAAAGCTCCTAAAAAAGGATCAGAACAAACCATTGTCAGCCTGACAGTTAAAGAGCTCAATCCCAGAATAATGTGAGTTTGCCTTTCTTTTTCAGTATAGCTTCTGTGGTGATGTGATTACAGTGTTGTTGTGCCAGCAGTGACGTGCCCTTAGGTAGAGCAATTAAGATTGAAACTGCAAAAACAAACATCCCTCGTGTCCTCATGCAAGACGCCAACATTCCACAACATCCATACATCCTCATGTTATTCAAAACAAAACATCCTTACATCCTCATGTTATTCAAAACACTTTATTATTATTATTATTATTAATGATAATAAAATTATTATTATTATTGTTATTATTATTAGACCCAAAAAAAGGAATCAATTTCAGATGTTTTTAATATACATATATCTATATCAGGGGTGGGCAAACTCGGTCCTGGAGGGCCGGTGTCCTGCACAGTTTAGCTCCAACTCTAATCAAACACACCTGCTTATGGATTTCTAGTGATCTTGAAGACACTGATTAGCATGTTCAGGTGTGTTTGATTAGAGTTGGAGCTAAACTATGCAGGACACCGACCCTCCAGGACCGAGTTTGCTCACCCCTGATCTATATACTTGTATTGTTGAATTGAGTTTTAATGTATCATTTAAAGCAATGGAAAGATAAACCTTTTCTTGGCATCTCTTAAAACAATATCATTTAAACATACTCACTCACTGAAAAATAAACAAAACTGTAATAACTTCACAGCCTTTTTTTTTTTAAATCACAAATTTTTCATTTTTTAAATTTATTTATTTGTCATATTTTATTGGTTTACTTTTATGCTTATTATTATTTTTGAGGATATATTTATATAGTACTATTTATATAATACTTTTATATTGGTTTTTTATTCCTGTAGCTTGATAGTCATGATTAGTGCCACTGGAATAACTCTTTTTGAAATAACTTTAGTGTGAATAAATAATAGATTTTAGCCTTTGGATGAAAAAAATATATATAATTAAAAAAAACCTATTACTTAGTTTGTGTATTATTGGTCATTTTATTTTCAGTCATTTCATTTTCATTTTATTTAAAGTGCATATTGTTTGCTACTTCGGTCCAGATTTTTTAAAAATATACAAACAAACACATAAATAAACAATTAAATAAATGCAAAAATATGTGGAATGATTTTGAGAGTATTTGAGCTGAAAAATGTAAACAACAAAAATAAAATTATGGTTTACAATTATCACAAACCTAAATCCAATTACAACCACTTTTATGGTAAGCAAAGCAGGTCTCTCATAAAACAGTTACTGTATTGTACCCAAACTGTACTGTGCACAAATCATCTAAGCATCTGCATATGGTTCAGTTAATAACTGAAATAAACATTTATTAAACTGAATAAATATATACATACACATTTTAAAAAACTAAATAAATTAAGTGAACGACAGTGTCAATGATCTATGGAAATCTGCTGTGTTTTCTATGGATTTCTGCAGATACAAATTCCATATGGGCCTGCTAATTATTCACCAAGTTAATAAATTAATCTTCTTTCCATCTTGAAAGTGCTTGCGGATTCATGTAGACCCTTCATTCAAAAGTGCAATGGTGAAGGCATATCTTCATAACATCTCCATTACAAGGCCTGCCCTCAGTGCCCTGACAGCACCTCTACAAAGCATACAGCCCTGCTATAGTGTAAATACTTCTGAATCAATTGAAGGAAACGCCCTTAAACAACACAGTGTTCTTTCATTACTTTGAAGTCATCAGCGGAACCCAATTCTGAGAATGGATACAGAGCTGCTAAAAAAAAATGCTGCTGCACTGTATTTACAGTGGCAGAGGTTTATTGAAAACAGTAAAACTGCAATATGACTTACGAAACACAAGCTTTTTTCTTCATATTTATATAAAAACAAAATTCTCTAAAATTAATAAAAACGTAACTTAAATATCAGGGGCCCTATCATACACCCGGTTGCTATTTTCAGACCAGCGCAACCCCAATTTTTTACATTTTGCACCACGTTGTTTGAATAGAAAATCCATTAAATCCCCCCAAAAATTAAACGTTTAAAATATTACAAAAATGATCATTTTCTACATAAATATAAAAACTACTGCATGCATGACTCATCTCGGGGGGCTTTTTTCAGTTCATTTATGAAAATTAAAAGTTAATATTATAAGCAATATTATTTATTATATGCAAATTTATATTTGTTTTAATAAAAACAAGTTTAGATTTGTCCACCTGTCGGATTTTGATGACGTATGCATCACCATGGGTATACGAACAAGACGTTTGTTTGGATAACTTTTTTTGAACACACTTCGTTATTATTATTCATTTATTTGTTTGCTGAACATTGAACTGAACATGAACTGAATTTAGAAATAGTTTTGAAACAAATCTTTGAGCTGAAACTAAATAAATATGTAGGCTAATGGATGTCTTCAGAGGAGAGCGTACAGCCCCGTTTCCTTATCCACGAAAGTAAAGGAGTAAAGTAAAGAGTAAAAGTAAAGTAGAGGTTGAATGGAAGAGGCTCATTCTTTATCTTCGTGCTGCAGATGGTCTAACTGTTTTCTCACTAGTAAAGCATTCGGTTTTCCACTCACAAAGTCCACAATGTAAATAACAAATGCGCCATGGCGTGACGCAATTAACTCTTTAAAGGAATGGGAGATGAGACTGATTGGTTTAATGCACGCCATGCTCAAAACACACCCATAACCCATGAAGAGAATAAGCACAACCCTGTCATACCATGTGCCGGGGCGCAGACCGTATTTTTCAGTCCTTAAAAGGCACCTAGGTTACCCCTTTTTTCAGATTTAATATAAGTCTTTTGCGTCTCTAGAATGTGTATATAAAGTTTCAGATCAAAATACCCATCAGATTTTTCATTATACCTTTTACAAGATGCTGTTTTATACTGATTTCCAGCAGGGGGTGGTTTTGTCGTACTGTGCCTTTAAGCCGAGTCTTTCCCGCCTACTATTTCTACATGCCTCCTCCCTCAGCTGCATCAGACAACAGACAGACTTAAAGGAATAAGGTCTCACGTAGCGTTTGTGAGATACTACAGTAAGAACTAACCTTTACTAATCAGTATTGTGAAGTTGCATTGATGAGTCACACACAATATCGTTACAAAGTTAACGTGCGCACGTGCGCACACACACACACACACACGCACGCACGCACGCAGGCAGGCAGGCAGGCAGGCAGGCAGGCAGGCAGGCAGACAGACAGACAGACAGAGCGGGCTTAGCTTAGTTAAGGCTAACCTCAAGTACTGTGTGGATATCTGTTATGCTAATGTACAAAATAAACCTGATTTAACTTCCACAAACCGGGATTGAAGCATCTTCTTTTATAATTGTTCTGACACGCGGCTGTGCTGATGAAGTAAAGCTGAAGTAAAACACTGTAATTAATTACACACATACTCTGTTTTAAAACACTTTAAACATGTGAAACTTACTCTTAATCACATTTGATGATGATTGCTGATCCTAGCGAACAGAACAGAGCTTTTATTCCCGGTTGCTTTGCGTATGTCTGTCTGGTCTTGTGGACATATACACATGACTACCGGAACATGTTAATGCACGCAGCTGTCAATCAATTCGGTGGGCGGGGGGATCGCACACCTACGTAATGGTGCGATCGATTTGAAAACAGCTCCAATTGGCCAACCCTTTTTTTGTAGTTAAATTGAAAAAAAAGGACTGGGTGTGTTCATATCACCCCAGTATGACGGTCTATACACTATACCAACACACAGATCTGTCCAAACAGCTTGAAAAGTAGATTTTTTACCATAGGTGCCCTTTAAAACAGCAAAAGTGGATTCGGACATGCCCTTAATGCTTTTGCGCCATGCAGTTTAGACTTTGCATCTAGATCGTTAAAATAGTTTTTTTTTTTTAAATATGTTTTTCTTTTATATTTACACGTTGTTATTTTTTTTTAAATCAAGAAAAAAAAGTTTTGAGTTTGGTAAAAAGTATTAAACAATCAAAAAATAAATAAGCTAAATTATTAGCCCAATTGTGAAAGTTTTATTCGTTTTAAAATATTTTCCAAGTGGTGTTTAACAGAGCAAAAACATTTTCAGAGTGTTCCCTATAATATTTGTTCTTTGGGGAAAAGTTTTAAATTTTTTTAAACCATTTTTAAAGACAACATAATATTTTTTATTAATGACTACAGAACAAACCACTGTTGTCCAATGACTTGCTTAATTAACGTAACTTGCCTAGTTAACACAATTAACCTAGTTAAGCTTTTAAATTACACTTTGAACTAAATGATAGTATCTTGCAAAATAACAAAAAAAAAATTATGTTCTGTCATCATAGATGTAGATGGTGGAAGAATTTAGTTATTAGAATTCTTAAACAAAGCACAACTTGTTAAAAATCATTCGCTGTTAAACAGCACTAAAAATACATTTTAGAAAGCTAAGTAAAGCTTATATACACTACCGGTCAAAAGTTTGGGGTCAGCAGGATTTTTAAAAATGTTTTAAAATAAGCTTCTCCTGCTCACCAAAGCTGCATTTATTTGATCAAAAACACAGTACAAATGGCAAAATTGTGGAATGCTATTGCAATATAAAATAACCTTTCAAAAGTAGTTCATAATTAATTTAATCATGTATTCCAGTAATTTTAATGATAAATTTTCAGCTTCATTACTTCAGTCTTCGGAGTCACATGATCCTTCATAAATCACTCTATTAATTATAATTATTGTTGTTGTTGTTATTAATAATGGTAATTGTAATAACAGCAATAATGACTGGAGTAATAATTTATTTGAAACTACATACAATACGCAGTTTTTTTTTTGTTTTTTTTTTTACAATTTTATTAATGTATTTACTTTTTTTCACCTTTAATAAATGCTGCCTTGATGAACATACAAAAAAAAAAAAAACTCTGATCCCAAACTTTTGACCGATAGCATATGTGTGTGTGTATATATAGTTATGTAC